ACCAGTGATCGTGGGAAATGAGAGGCGTCAGGCCTGGGCAAGGGGCTGATCCTGCGATTGGAGGGTGATGGGGGTCAACGTCTGAGGGCTCCCAGTATGTGAGAGGTGGCAGGCTGGCCTTAGGGACACCCCCCCCCCACCACCCAGTGGCCGAATTTCGTGCACCGGGCCCCTAGTTTAATATAAAATTAGAAAATAAGAGAAGAAACCCCAGCGCCCTGCAAGCTGGGGAAGGAAAACACTTGGGAACAGAGTCCTCTTAAGGCCTCTCAGTCATCATGTGCATGGAAACTGTTCAGAGCACCTGTGTGGTTTGTACACGCCTGTTTATCCATTAAGTCTTACAATGCAAGTCAATCAGAAATACAGTTATGCCAAAAAAATACATGCCACGGCTTCCTGAAATTTCCCACTTTGCAACGTTATCAGAAAATACAGGCCAGGTTTGCCCTTCCCTTTTCTTTATCATCGTCACATTTGTCTTGAACTGAAGTAGGACAGGGCGCTGTCCTGAACTGTAACATAATAGTCCAGTGGTAATTTCCAAGGTCTCTGTGTTTTCGGGCTCCTGACCTTCACCCACAATGGAAAGCGTTATCGTGCACAGTCAGGAAAGGCCACGGGCACTCAATGGCATTCACTGTCAGTGCGACTTCTAAGCAGCTTCACCCAGGTCCCGCCATGCGCTGACGGGACTAACAAACCCACGATGCACCAGAAAAATCAGGACTCTGGCCTTGCTCTGCTAGTTTCTGTCTTTACTAGCTACGTCCTTACAATACCAATGACAGCAAGACGACTGCTTCCACACAGAGCCCCTATGTCAGTGGTTAAATAAGTGTTGTAACGTCTTCACAATCAACACAGGAGAGGAGAGCTCACTGTTGCTTTGCCGCTGCGCCTCTCGGGAAGCAGGTTAGTTTGAGAGAGCAGAAATGGCGTGATGACGAGGGAGCCACATCCAGGGCTGCGGGGACCGCAGGAAGGAGAAAAGGGCCCCCTTCCCTAAGTTACTCTGGGTTCTGACCTCAAGCCCTGGGAAAATGTTAGACAGAACTGCCCACTGGCAGATGCTGGTCTCTAAGGAATGGGCACCGCACGGCACCTGGTCTGACAGGGAAGAAGATGGGCGTTTTATTTTATTTTTTAAAATACATCTTTCGTGAGTCCAGAGAGGAAGAGAGACAGAGAGATAGAAACATCAATGATGAGAGAGAATCATTGATTGGCTGCCTCCTGCACGCCCCCAGTGAGGATCGAGTTTGCAACCCAGGCATATGTATGCCCTTAACCGGAATTGAACCTGGGACCCTTCACAAAAATCAACTCCAAGGGGATATAGACCTAAGTGTAAAACACAAAACCATCAAACTCCAACAAGGCTAATAGGATAAAACCTAGATGACCATGGATATGGTAATGACTTTCTAGATACAACACCAAAGGCACACATTCTATGAAAGAAATCAATGGACTTGATCAAAACTTAAAACTTATGTCCTATAAAAAACAGTATCACAAGAATGAGAAGATAGCCATAAACCGGGAGAAAATATATGCAAAAGTCACATCTCATAAAGGACAGTCACCCAAAATATACAAAGAATTCAACAATAAGAAAACCAACACAATTTTAAAAATATGGACACTTCATCAAAGAAGATATACAGATGGAAAGATGTTCAACAGCATAAGTCATTAGGGAAATGCAAACTAAAGCAATAATAATAATACCATTTCACCCCTAATGAGAATGGCCAAAAGCCAAAGCACTGACACCACCAAACGCTGGTGAGGATGTGGAGCAATGGGGACTCTCTCTCACTGCTGGTGGAAATGCAAAATGGTGCAGCCATGTTAGAGGACAGTTAAGCAGTTTCTTACAAAACTAAAGGTTAATTAAAGGAAAAAATAAATAAACACACTCTGATCATATGCCCAGCAAGCCTGTTCCTTGGCACTTACCCAAATGTCCACACGAAGACCTGCACATGGATGTGCATAGCAGCTTTACTCATATTGCTAAAGTTTGGGAGAAACCAAGATGCTCTTCTGTGGGTAAATGGTATAACTGCGGGCCATCCAAACAACGGAATATTATTAAGAGCTAAAAAGAAATGAGCTACCGAGCCATGAAAAGACACGGAGGGAACTTAATGTACACGACTAAGTGAACGAGGCCCATCTGAAAAGCTACCTACCTTGTGATTCCAACTACGAGATATCCTGGACAAGACAACACTGTGGAAAAAGCATCAGTGGCTGCAGGGGCTCGAGGGGAGGGAGGAATGACCAGAGAGAGCACAGGATTGTTAGGGCGGTGAAACTGCTCTGTGTGATACTACAATGGTGGACACATGTCATACATCTGTCCAAACCCACAGAAGGTACAACACTAAGAGTGAGCCCTGGTGTAAACTGTGGACTTTGGGTGGCGACGCTGTAAGGTAGGGGCCTCAGTGGTAATGAGCGTACCGCTATGGTGCAGGACATCAACAGTGGGGGGCGGGGGGGCTGTGCATGTGGGGACCAGATATATGGAATCGCTCTGTACCTTCTACTACTTTTTGCTATGAACCTAGAACTGTTAAAAGCTATGTTCACTTTGGCCTGGCCGGTGTGGCTCAGTTGGTTGGGTGTCATCCCATGAACCAAAGATTGCCGGTTTGATTCCCAGTCAAGGTCACATGCCCGTGTTGCAGGCTCGATTCCTGGTAGGGGGCCCAGAAATAGACCCACATAAACACAGTCAACTGGTCTGTGACAAAGGAGCAAAGGCAGCACAATAGGACAAAGTCTTTCAATAAATGGTGCTGAGCAACTGGACAGCCACGTGGGAAAAAATGAAGCTAGACACAGACCTAGGCAGCCAATGGACGTTACGCTTTCACACTGTTTCTCTCTCTAAAAATCAATAAACTATTCTTTAAAAAACAACGAACTTACGTTCATTTTATGTAATGTGAATTTTACCTCAATTTTAAAAAGGGGTAGTTACAGAGAATCCTGTCTAATAAAAGAGGAACATGGTAATTAGCGTACGTCCGCTACCCTTCCCATTGGCTAATCAGGGCAATATGCAAATTAACTGCCAGCCAAGATGGCAGCAGGCAGCCAGGCTACTGACACGAACAGGAGGCTTGCCTGCTTCAGTGACGGAGGACTCCGACGTTCCCCGCCTGCCACTGCTGGGCTCTGAGCTGCTAAGAAACATTGTTACAAATATAGAAGCTAAACAAAACCCCAGAAACCTGTTTTCAGTCAGCTGAGATCTCAGAGCTGGAGTCGCAACAAAGTTTCAAATACAGAAACTTCAGGGCAAACCAGCCGGCCCCCACCCGTGCACCAGGCCTCTATCCTATATAGTAAGAGGGTAATATGCCTCCCAGCACTGGGATCAGCGCCCAAACTCCCTGATCACTCTGCGGCTCTGTGTGTGACAGGGTGGAGTCGCAACCTCCCCATCGGCCCTGCCCTGAGTGTGACAGGGGGCGGCGCCCCAACTCCCCAATCGGCCCTGCTCTGAACCCGACCAGGGGCTACACATAGGGATTGGGCCTGCCCTCTGCCACTTGGGAGTGGGCCTAAGCCAGCAGGTTGTTATCTCCCGCGGGGTCCCAGACTGTGAGAGGGCACAAGTGGGGCTGAGGGACACCCCGCCCCCCGCCAGTGCACAAATTTTTGTGCACCGGGCCTCTAGTGGAGTTTATAAAACACCAAACAGTTTACTATAGTGTTCTAAACACTTACAAAATCAGTTTACTCCTAAGAACCCTATGAGATAGGTACTAATCTCCTTTTATGAAGAAGGATGAAGAAACTGAGGCACGGAGAGAGTAAGAAGCCTGCCTAACAGCAGAGCTGGGCTTTGAACCGACAGTTTAGCTCCAAAGTCCATGTTCTTAACCAGGCCACTGCACTCCCTGCCGCAGCCTTTATCCTGTGGGGACACAGAGGCAGATGGCTGACAATGAATGCTGCCCTCCAAGACGAAAGGGGCCCCCTGATTGGTTGGGTTCTGGCAGAGAGGAGCTCGCCGAGGCCGGTGCTCACCCTGGAGAGAAAACAGCAAACGCTGCACTAGAGATTCCCACAGCTCCCTGATCCGAAGCCGGGATGAACACTATTCATTACAGAAAGACACAGGGTTAAGGACACTCTCGTTGGTCTCTACTACGTATTCCTACTTTTCCTATTCCGAGCTACATCAATATCACAGTGACAACAATAACAACTTCAATTGCTTTCCTCTCTGGTAAATGGGCTTCCTGAGCCAATCTGTAATAATAGAAGCATAATATGCTAATTAGACCAGACAGCTAAATAACCTTCCGGAGGTGTGAGGGCCAAGCCCCTTGCAGGAATTTTGTGCATCGGGCCTCTAGTTGATCTATAAAATCCCTTCTAGAATGCTAGCCATATAACTCAGAGGCTGGTTTTTTAAGATAGATTAGCAGATTTTTCAAGTTTAGGGGTTTAAAAGTGCTCAACATTTTAATGCAATGATACATAAGTAGCCAGAGATCTTAAAAAGTGGGAAGATAGATTTTACAAGCACAGGAAGGACTTTATCATAAAAACAGGGAGAGGGTTAGATGACCTCGCAAGGGGAAGCGAGTTGTGGGATGTAGTCTAGCCAAGAACTAGGCCGCGGTCAACAAGGGCGATACAAACAAACAAACAAACAAACCGACCATTCCCCACCCAGACTAACAGGACAGGTGCAAGCCCGTGCATGACTTATTCCAGAAAACGCCCAACAAGTTTTCAGGAAATTAAAGCGAACGACAGTACAGGCCTCTCTTATTGTAGTAGTTATAAAAGGTGTTTTTACAATGAAACCAGCCAGGCAAGGTCTCAAAAGGGCCATCATTTGAGGGGAGCGGGGAAGGAAAGAAAAGAAAAAAGTTGGTAATCTTTCAAAAAAAATACACATGCTTGCTTTTTTTTTTTCTTTCTAGATCTCACACTACAGAAAATATTACTATGGGAAGTGTGTACTACCAAAGAATAAACCTGACTTTAACGTCTACTTATGCTTTCCCCTCCATTCCTGTCTTCTCCCCCATTAAGAATGTGTCCTTTAATAAAATTAAAAAGACCCAGAAGTAATAATCCGGACACACACAGGTACTGCCCCACGCCTAGGCCCTCACTGCTGGCAGCAGGGGTCTGCTGAACACTGAAAGCAAATCCAGGCCCGCGCCTGTCTTCTTCTGCTTCTTTTTGCTTTATTTTTATTGTTGACACAACTACAGATGTCCCCATTCCCTCTCCGCTTTGCCCTCATCCCCCCAAACCCCAGCCCCCTTCCCTCTGGCCATCACCACCCTGTGTCTGTGTTTGGGTTATGCATATATGTTCTCTGGCCAATCCCTTCCCCTCCATTCATCTAGTCCCCCCCACACACACCTCCCCTCTGAGATCTGTCAGTCTGCTCCACGCATCCAGGCCTCTGTTTCTATTTTGTCTGTCAGTTTATTGTGCTCATTAGAGTCCACATCTAAATGAGATCACATGGTATTTGCCTTTCTCTGACTGGCTTATTTCACTCAGCGTGATAATCTCTAGGTCCATCCATGCTGTTCCGCGCCTGTCTTCTCACTCAAGAAAGCAAGTGACAGTAAAAATGACAGACGTGGTTATAGGAATTAGTTCAATTAACTCTAATTTTTTTTCCAGGTAAATCATTTGCAAGCTTTCCTTTGCTATTTCAGCTATCATTTAGAAGCAAAGCACTGGGTGATATAGACCCCAACTGTATTCTGACAACTACTGCCTAACAGCAACAGTTATCAGGATGTGGTCTGAGGACTCTTGGGGGTCTGCAAGACCCTTTTAGGGGGCTCACAAAGCCCTCCCTTTTCCAGCCATGTATCTGGGCGATGCCCAATTTTTTTTTCATCTACTTCAACCAAATAACAGATAGCAACAGGTAGAATGCAGAATCCTGCTGTCTTCTCCTAACCTTCTTTCCTTTCAAGGTCACAATGAACAGGCCACTCCCCTCTTCCCCTCAGGCTGGGTCACTCAGAAGCCAGGTCAAGACTCCTCCTTCCTTCCTGAACTCTCTCTTTTTTTTAATTGTTTAAAGTGTTACATATGTCTCCTTTTTCCCCAACTAACACCCCCCTCCCCAAACTCTCTCTTACTGCCTCCTATTCCAGATGTGAGCCAGGGAGTATCTGGCCATGGCTGATGCCCCCAAATCTTTTAAAACCACTCTTCTACTTCAAGGCCTACTTACCACAACATTTTTATTATTATTATCATTGATTTCAGAGAGGAAGGGAGAGAGAGAGAAACATCAATGATGAGAGAGAATCATTGATCAGCTGCCTCCTGCAAGCTCCACACTGGTGCAACCCGGGCATGTGCCCTGACAGGGAATTGAACAGTGACCTCCTGGCTCATAGGTCAATGCTCAACCACTGAGCCATGCCGGCCAGGCTTACCACATTTTAACAAGCACTTCATTGGCAGTTTATATACTCACCAGTATTAATACTGTGATGGGATGTGTGCTATGGTTTACTGTAAGTGTGCCCAATTTTCACTTCTTATGGGTTAAACACGTTTCTGACGATCACTTTTGGAGCTTAAACACTTTATAACAATGTTCCCAGGGGAACACTATTTGAGTTCCAAGATGAATTCATAATAGATGATATGAATTGCTTTTTCAAGTCATCTGGGAATTAGAAATGGGTCCCAGGAAACAATACACCAGACAAAGCCAGGTGAAGGCAGCTGAAAGACAGTCACTAGACGACAGCAGCAGCGCAGAGGTGCCCAAGGAGCCTCAGCTGGGTGAGCTCCCCTCCCAGGCAGTCAGGTCCGAGCGGGGGGTTGGGGGGGGGGGCCACAGACGGACCGGGGAGCGGGGGAGCAGGGAACGGGACCGTGCCTGAGCATCTCGGGAGAAAGGCTCTCGATCTGACCAGAAGGGACTAACTTGTTAGCCACTACTGGGGGTTTCTCAGATGTCGGGGTTCACTGCTGCCCACTGCACCAGCTTGCCTCAGTTTACCTGTCTGTCTATACTTGGGTTTCCAAAAGAGGAGGAGGTACAGTCAGGACTGCTCTCTTCCAAGACAAGGCTTTTGCCCCCGATGCCTTTCTGCTCCTCTACACAACTCAGCTGCGTTTCTAGATAAAACAGGAACTTTTTGGCCTCTCCCTCCAGGCCTAACCCAAACCTAGCCTAACGGCCCACACCGGCTTTCTCACTGTCCCTGGCGCCACTCTGTCCATCAGCACTGGAAACAACAACCACATACTATATACTTACTAAGAAAAATATTCATATTCAACGGAGACATACTTTCTGATGCATTACTTTTTTATAGTAAAATAATCTCAAACCTTTCAAGAATAGTAAGCAAGAATAATTCTTTAAAAATGGGGTTGAGAAACTTCTCAACTGAATAAGCAAATATGTATTAATCACTGGTGTTTATGACCTAGCTAAAACAGTTCATCAAATATTAATGTTGCAGTTATTAATACACGTCATCATTAGGGGGAACAGCTATGTTATGAAATTACCTCACTGGGACTTGTTCCTCCAGTTAGTAAAGGTTTAAAAACGTCAGATTTCATACAAAAAAGCATTTGTGTAATTTTCCATCTGAGGCCTTAAATATTTAGAAAATGCTCATTAGTTGCTTCTTTTAATAAGGCTCCATACACTTATGAATGGATTTTTTAAACTGTTGCCAAATGAAAATGCTCTGTTCAGGAATCATGGGCAGATATTAATGGATATTTAGAAACACAACCCAGAAGCCAGATCCACCCAGGCTGCGGGAGTATCCCAGGTGCCTGCCATTAACACAGCGTTGGTAACTGAGGCGCTCAGATACCCGCAGGGCTGCTGCCCACCTTCTAGTCCTCCCACGGCTCCTTCCATCACTGCAGCTCAAAGTGAATGTGGCCTGGGGAGGAATGAAATGCAAGCCAGTTCATTATGTTGCTTACTAGCTCTTCTGATAAACATTAGAAATGCATGGAAGAAGAAAAAAAGATCAGGGATTACTGAAGAATTTTAATTATTTCTGTTATCCTTCTTACTAAGTCTGTAAGTAACAGGAAACTGGCATGAATTAGTCAAGGCATTTTAAAGGTAAACATAACCTGCTTGAGGCAAAGGCTCTAATCCCCCAATCAAAAGGGACAGTTCCTCCATTAGCCTCCACTGTCTGCTGTGACCTTAAAGTGGTCTGTCCTTTGTCAGGTGCTAGGGACAGAGAAGAGCGTGCAGCCTCCACCCTGAGGCCACCAGAGAATAAGTCTCCCAAAGGGGGGAGGGGGCCAGCGGGGAGCGGGGAGGTGACCCCAGGGCTGTGCATCAGCTGGCTTATCGGAAAGGGTGCCCAGAGGACCCTCGGGCTAGGCCCACATCCTGACTATGAACACTGAGCAGTGTAAGTCTGTGAACACCCAGGCCGCGTGCTGGGCCCCATGCTTTGTTCAATGCTGTTGTCATTTTGAAATTCTTAATTTTTGAACAAAGGGGCCCTGCACTTTGATTCTGCACTTGTCCCCATGTTTTATGCAGCTGGTGCTACCAACATTCATCATTAGCTACATCTAAAATATGCAAAATTAAATGTGACTGGATTCTGCATTTAAGATGAAATGAATTATGTTCTTTAAAGGCCACTTATACAAATCATTCTTAAATTTTACATACTTCAATTTAAGGTTATGACATTCAATTTTTTCTTGGTGATCCTTAAAATTTAAGTACTATATTATATAACAAAAAATTATGCAGTATTAAGAGCCCAGAATGTCTTTGGTAGACTTTACACAGGTATTAAACAAAGATGACATTCATTTTTACTGAGTTTTAAAAATTCACTTTGATTCTAAAGACATATTTCTAAGCGTTTTATACTGTGAAGATTGGGTAAGTAACAAGTAGCAAATTAAAAATCAAAATCAAAGCAGCAGCCCTGGCTGGCTGGCTCCATTGGTTGGAGCATTGGGCGGGGACGTGGACTGTGGACACTAATGTGCTAGGCCTTTCTTAAAGTGACAGGTGGCAACAACAAAGAGCCGCAGGACTGATAAGATTTAGTCCTAAGGAAAGCTGACTAAAGGCTCAAACAATGTTTTAAAGAAAAGGGTTGCTTTGTGTGCGAGCAAGTGCCCAAGCTGAGAGACCAACTGTCAGGAACATGGGAAGGTAGGTCCGTCTGACAGGGAAGGCTGCTTACGTGTAGAGGACCGAGCTTTCAAAACGCCCTTCAACTCAAAGTCTAAGGTCCTGGAAGGAATGATATGGAAGGTAACAGCAAAGGAAGAAGCTGGTTGCACGAAATGCCAGTTTGTCCCTAGACCAGGAAAATTATCAGCGACTTAACCCTCTAATAAGAAAACTCTCTCGCCAAACCGGTTTGGCTCAGTGGATAGAGCGTCTGCCTGCGGACTGAAAGGTCCCAGGTTCGATTCCGGTCAAGGGCACGTACCTTGGTTGCGGGCACATCCCCAGTAGGAGGTGTGCAGGAGGTGGCTGGTCGATGTTTCTCTCTCATCGATGTTTCTAACTCTCTATCCCTCTCTCTTTCTCTCTGTAAAAAATCAATAAAATATATTTTAAAAAAAAGAAAACTCTCGCCCTGGCTGGTGTGGCTCGGTCGGCTGAGCATCATCCGGTGCACCAAAAGGTTGCAGGTTCAATTCCTGGTCAGGGTACATGAGGGAGGCAAATGATCGATGTTTCTCTCTCCCTCTCCCTTCCTCTCTCTTAGAGAAAAAAATCAATAAAGAACTCTCTGACAACTGTGAAATATGTACCTGGCTAGAAAGACTCTCCTAGAGTAATTATGAGTTCAAATGTTGAATGTAGGACGGTGTAGCCATTGTGGAAAACAGTCTGGAAGCTCCTCCAAATGTTAAACATAGAGTTATCATAAGACCCAGCAATTCCCCTCCTAGGTATATACCCAAGAGAACTGAAAATACATACCCACACAAGAACCTGTACACGAATGTCCACAGCAACATTGCTCACAGAAGCCACAGAGTGGAAAACAACTCAAACGTGCATCAGCGGATGAATGGAAAAATAAATGTTGTATATCCATCTGATGGAACCTTGCCTTAGTCTGTTTGGGCTGCTGTAACAAAATAACAGACTAGATGGCTTATAAACAACAGAAATTTATTTCTCATGCTCTGGAGGCTGGGCCCAAGACCAAGGTGCAGGAATGTGGTGTCTGGTGAGAGCTCACTTTCTGGTTCCTTGGACAGTCATCTTCTCTCTGTGTCTTCACTTGGTGGAAAGGGCAAGGGGTCTTTTATAAGGCCACTAATCCCATCCGGGAGGGCTCCACCCTCATGACCTAATCATCTCCCCAAAGCCCCACCTCCAAGTACTAAGACTTGAGGGAGGAGGATTCGGTCTCAACAGAAATTTTGGAGGGACACAAACCTATACAAATATTATTCAGCCATAAAAATAAATGAAGTTCTGACTCAGGCTGTAACATGGATGAATCTTAAAAACGTCATGCCAAGTGAAAGAAGCCAGTCACAGAAAAGGCTGTGTATTGTATGATTCTAGTGTGATGACATGTCCGGACTAGGCAAGTCCAGATTAGCAGTTGCCAGGAGATGGGAGAAAGGGGAATTCAGAGTGACAGTTAAGGGCTATGGGGTTTATTTGGGGGGTGATGAAAACATTCTGAAATTAGATAGTGGTGATGATTGCACACTGAATTGTATATTTTTAAAAGGGTGAATTTTATGGTATGTGAATTATGTTTCAATAAAGCTGTTTAAATTTTTATTTTAAAGAGTAGATATAGAAAAGAAAAACATCTTTTGTCCTAAACAATGTGTTTAAGAAATTATAGATCAAGGTAGATTGAAAAATAGCAGACTCTAGAGCAGCCGTGGGCAAACTACGGCCCGCGGGCCGAATCCGACCCGTTTGAAATGAATAAAAATAAAAAAATAAAAAGACCGTACCCTTTTATGTAATGTTTACTTTGTATTTATATTAGTTCACACAAACACTCCATCCATGCTTTTGTTCCGGCCCTCGAGTCAAAAGGGTCGCCCAACCCTGCTCTAGAGGTTCTTGTCACAAGAGAATAAAACTGGTCCAAAACAGATGACTGTAAAATAATATTCATGCCTGACC